GAAGTAGATTGCCCAACCTTCCTTCCAAGGAGTGGCTGGTGGGTTTGAACTGCCAGCCTTCTGGTTAGCAGTCAAGTGCCTTAGGCACTATGCTGTCAGAGCTCCTGAACGTTTATTAATGAAGTCAGTGGTGGGTCCATGGTAGAATTCTCACCCTCCACGTGGGAGATGTGGGTTCAGTTCCTGTCCAGGGCATCTCATGCACAGCCATCCCCCATCTGTCCATGGAGGCTTGTGAGTGGCTGTGATGCCAAAGAGGTTGCAGTGGAGCTTCCAGACTAAGACCAGGAAGAAAGGCCTGGAGATAACGTATGTAGGCAAATGGGAATGCCTGGTGGGAGGGTTCCCCAAGACCACCCCCAGCTCAGTGACTCTCAGGACTTACCGTTTAGTTGAACACACACTTGTGATTTGCTACAGTGAAAGGATACAAAGCAAATTCAGCAAAGGAAAAAGGTGCGTGGAGCAAAGTCTGGGGGAAACCAGGAGCAAGCTCCCAGGATCCCTTCCTCGTGGAATCACATGGGATGATGTGTTTCATTCCCAAAGCAACAGATGGTGACAACGTGTGTGAAATATCCACCAGGGAAGCTCATTAGATACTCAGCACCCAGAGTGTTTTGTGGGGGCTGGCCACGTGAGACACCCTCTGTCTGGCACGTACCAAATTCCAGACTCCCACAAGGAAAGCAAGTGTTTGTCCAAACCGTCTAGGCACAGTGAGCCTCTGTTACCAGGCAGAGAATGGAGGGTACTTCCATCTCATGGGGCAAGACGGTTGCTCCAGCTCCCACGGTCGTGTCTGCGTTCCAGCCACCTTGCAAGCCAGGCTTTCAAAGGAGGTCAGCTATGTGAACGTACCTCTGTGTGGCTGAATATTGAGAAAGAAGCAGGGTAGGGCAGAAAAGGAGGAAGAAGCAGCAAGGCTGAGGGGAGTGGGTGGTTTAGAAAGAAGTTTGGTTGGAGGCTGAATATGAGGAGCAGGAAGAAGGAGAAGGTGAGAGAGAGGGAGAGAGACGGAGAAGGGGGGGGAAGGAGGGGAAGCAAAGGACCCCTGGGGAGGCAGGATGGCGAGGCAGGAAGGCGCAGACCTTGGCAGCCAAGGATGTGCTGGACCCTGGGGAGCTGGGGCTCTGCAGCCCCCCTCCATCCCAGGAAGTCGGCAGATGAGTGCTCCGGCCGCCCTGCAGGTGATCACCTCCCGGCTGCACCCATTTGTCTATTTGTATTGCTGGGCCTTTCTTCCTGGTCTGTCTGGGGGCTCTGTAACCATGCTTCCTTCTCAGGAAATTGGTGGAGAGAGCACCAGCCACCTGCACACAGTAACTTCACTGGCTCTGTTCTCCCACAGCTGAGCTCGTCTCTGTCCCTGCCTCGGCCTTCACCTGCCAGTCGAGTCCCCAGAAACAAAGATTCTCACTCAAACTAGTGAGTGGGCCTTGGGGGAAGGGGTGGGCAGTGCCAAGGGGAAAGTCTGGGGCTTTGGCAAACACACAGTCACCTCCAAGCCCCTTGAGGCCTGGGGCAGGTGGGAGCGTGTGGCCGGAGGTCAGGGCCCCTCGGCCTCTGGGATAGTTTCCTTGAGCTGCTGTTACCAAACTCCACAAACTGGGTGGCTTGAAACCCCAGAAATGGCTTGTCTCACAGTTTTGGAGGTTTGTTGTTAATGCTAATCACCATCAAGTCAGCGCCGACTCATGGCAATCTTATGTATAACAGAATGACACTGCCCGGTCTGGGGTATTGAACTGTGTCCCCAGAAAGTATGTGTTGTAATCCTGACCTCTGTGCCATCTGGGAATGGGTTGTCTTTGTTATGTTAATAAGGCAGGATTAGTGTAGGGTGTATCTTGAGTCAGTCTCTTTTGAGATATAAAGGAGATTAAACAAGGAAGAAAGAAGTGGGGATGGGGTAAGAGATGCCAGCCCTCTTTTTATTTCTAGGGGGTGAGAGCGAAGATCAGCCACAAAGAAGCTCAGAGACGAGGGCCCTCCCCCAGAGCCCACGGAGAGTCTTCCCCTGTCGCTGCTCCTCTGTCACTGTCCTTGGGTCCCATCGAGTCGTCTCCGACTCATAGCGACCCTGTGGACAACAGAACAAAACACTTCCGGTCCTCGCCAGCCTCACAATCCCTGCTATACCTGAATTATTTCTGAATTATCTTCAGCTTTAGTCTTCCTCTGGAGCTTCCTAAACTATGAGAAGCTAAATCTGGGTTTGTGGAGGCCCCTGTCTGTGGCATTCCGGTTGGGGCGGCACTTAGTGACTGAGACACCCCGCCTGTGCCGTCGTGAGCAGTGGTGTGCGTCCATGGGGTCATGGTGTCCGTCACCCGTGGAGGGCTCTCCCGTTCTCACTGGCCCTCTGCTTTACCAGCCACAATACCCTTTTCTAGCCATTGCTCTTTCCTAATAACACCCAAAGTGTGTGAGCCAGGGTCTCCCCGTCTTCTGGAGGGTGAGCGGCTGAACTCGGGGTGTCAGCAGGGCCAGTGTCTAGGGGTAGAGCCTTCCTCTGCTCTCCCTGCCTCTGGCAGCCAGACGTTCCTTGGCTTGTGCTGCGGCATCACTGCAGTCTCTGCCTCCGTCGTCACGTGTCTTTCCTCCGTGTGTCTCTGTGTCTCTCCTCCTCTGTTGTAAGGACACTAGTCATATTGGATTAGGACCCACTTTACTCTGGCATAACCTCATGGAAACTGACAACATCTGAGAGACCCTATATCCAAACAAGGTCTCATTCACAAGTAGCCAGGGTTCGGATTCAGTGTGTCTTTTAGGAAACACAGCCCACCACATACACCCCTAAGTGAAAACATTTTCTTCTCTTGTGTCTTTGGTGATTGCTTTGATGCTATTCTTCTGTCTTCTCTAAAAGCACTAATTATTTGTATGTTGTGTCTCCATTATCTCTCTTGCTTATCTGTAACTTCTTTGTCACTGTTCCATCTCTTTGTCTTTTCCTTTGCATTCTCAGGAACTTTTTAAGTTTTCTCCATGTCTTGGTCGTAGTTCCCTAGAGAACCAGAACCAGTGAGATATATTCACACAGAGAATGATTTACTTCCAGGGAGTGGCTCACAGAATGGGGGCATGGGGCTGGCAAGTTCCAAAATCAGTAGGATAAGTGGTGGCAGGTAGAAGCTTCTGCAGGCTTGCGTCCCAAGATCCACAGGTCAGGTGAAGAGTGCTGAATGGACCGGGGAGCCAGTTCTTCAGAATATCTGTAATCAAAGGCAGAACGCGCCCTAAGGAAACTCTTTGCGACTGAGTGAGTGATTATAGTCAGTCAGATTAGATTATGGCAGGTGATTACTAGTCTAGTCGGCAGACCACTGGGAACCACAGCCTAGCCAAGTAGACACACAAATTCACCACCACACTCCACATCACCCGTTCCATTTTTCTGCATTTTGTAGGCTTCTGATGAAGACAAGTATTACTTACAGTCTTTCCTTATCCAGCCCTCTTTATTTCTGACGCCTCTCAGCCAGTGGGCTCTTTTTCTTTCTGAATCCTCTGGCTCATGTAGTGGTTCGATAAACAAGGGGCCCAGTTTTCTGTGTTGTTGCTTCTGTGTCCTCTACCCATGACTTCCATCTCGTGGGCCAGGGTGGCTGCTGCAGCTCTCTCTGTCACGTCTGTATTGCAGCCACCTGGAACAGGAGAAGGAGAAGGGGAGACCCTGCCTCAGCCCTTCAGGGACATGACCTGCAAGTTGTCGGCTCACTTCCTGTCCTGGTTCTCTAGTGCTGCTATGACAGAAAAGCCACAAGTGGGAAGCTTTAAGAAACAAGTTTATTTTCTTACAGTTCAGGAGGCTGGGCGTCTGAAATCAGCACTGGCTCAAGGGCAGGGCTCGCACTGTGTCCCCCCCGGGGGGGGTCCTTATCTCATCAGCTTCTGTTCTTGTCTCCATGGTGATCTTCATGTGGCCTGGTTTCTGCTTCCTCACTTCCTTGCATCATCGTTCCTTTTATATCTCAAAGAGCCCTGGTGGCACAGTGGTTAAGTGTTCAGCTGCTAACCAGAAGGTTGGTGGTTCAAACTCACCAGCCACTCCACGGAAAAAAGATGTGGCAGTCTATTTCTGTCAGGATTACAGCTTTGGAAACCCTATGAGACAATTCTTCTCTGTCTTATAGGGTCACCATGAGTCAGAATTGACTCAAAAGCAATGATTATTTTTTTTTTTTATATATCAGAAGAGATTGACTCGACTCACACCCTACACTAATACCATCTCATTAACATAAGAAAGAAAACTCATTCCCAAATGGGATCATAACCACAGTTGTAGGGATTGAGATTTACAACAAATATTTGGGGGGGGGGGGGACACAATTCAATCCATAACATATCCCCATTGGCCAGAACTTGTCATGTGATCATACTCTGCTGCAAAGGAGCCTGGGAAATGTAGTTTTTCATCACTGGCTATGTGTCTAGGGCACACTTGTGGACCCTACCATAAAAGAAAGAAGGGAAGCCTGGGTACTGGGAAATAGCTCACAGTCTCTGATAATGTGTCTTATATAGCACCCTGGGGAGTTTGGGGATGTGGGCACTTGGCAAACCTGGGCATTGCAGCCTGCGCTAGGGAGGGACACACAGATAGTGATGCCCTGGGGCCTCTTTCTCAGAGTCCAGTAGTACAGCCTTCTCCCTCCTGTCCCCACCAGGACGCCAAGGATGGGCGCTTGTTCAACGAGCAGAGCTTTTTCCAGCGAGCCGCCAAGCCTCTGCAAGGTACTCTTCAGGGAAGTGGGCAGGGAGGCAGGTCAGCGTACATAGCTTCTCCCTGTGGTCGTGGGAAGGGAGGATCTCAAGCCCAGATTTGCACCCTGTCTGTGCCCAAATCCGGGCTCCTGTCTCTCCTCAGGCCTCTGGCGTCTGAGGACAGACAATGCATGCTGTCTGTTTTTTGTTTTGTATCCTGGTGAAAGTAGACACAGCCGAAATTTGCCAGCACAATAGCTTCCACACTGACAATCCAGTGATGTTGATGACGCTTGTCTTGTTGTGGCACCATCCTCATTATCCTTCTCCAAAACAGTCCACCGCTATGAACATGAACCAAAACGCCCTCCCTCCCGCACCCTCCCTCCTTGGAACCATCAGTAGTCTTTGGTTTCTGTATATTCACTTATTTCACGTCAGTGAGATCACACAGTATTTGTCCTCTGCAACTGACCTGCTTTGCTCAGCGGGTTTTCAGTGTTCATGCTGTGGCATCGGTCCTTCATCTTCCTTGATGACTAAGTAATCCTCCATTGGATGGATGAACTGTACTTGTTTATCTGTTCTTCTGTTGATGGACATTTTGGTTGTTTCCACTTTGAACTAGTTCTTGACAGTCAGGCATTACATCTTCAGGAATGTGGCAAGCCAGTAGTTACCCCAGCCATGTTTAAAAATGAGCTGTGTGTGCAGCCAAGCCCCTTATGAGACTGACTTGCTTGGTTTTGAGGTTTAGGATTACGGTTTCATGGCAGGTCCTATTAATTGGCCTACTAACTTGTTTAGTGCTTCTGTTCTACCTCATATATGTAGCACCTGGAGTCTTCAAAGCTTGAAAGTGGTCGTCCAAGGCATATGGTTGCTTTCTGTTTGCCAGAGGAAGAGGAGTCAGGAATAAACCAAAACCAACCAAACGCACTGTCATTCAGTCAATTCCAACTTATAGTGACCCCCATTGGGTTTCCAAGGCAGTAAATCATCACAGAAGTAGATTGTCCCATCTTCCTTCCTTCTACAGAGCGGCTGGTGGGTTTGAACCACCAACCTTCTGGTTTACCAGTCAAATGCCTTAGGCACTGTGCCACCAGAGCTCCTTAGAGTCAGGAGTAGGAGGAGAAAGGGAATATGTGGCTAACTGCCTCCATGAACAACTGTCTGCCTTGCTGTGACACATAGAACTGGGCGGTACCTGGCTGCCATTACTGCACATTTAATCAAAGATTCTCTAGAAGAATCCTGACCAAAAGGGGGGAAATGTAGAACAGAATTTCAAATTCTCATGGATTTAAGACTTTCCGGAGCCATGGAAGCTAGATGAATCCCTGAAACTATTGCCCTGAGACAATCTTTAAACCTTAAACCAAAAATATTCCTGATGTTTTAAAACTAAACAATAGTTTAACTTAACTAGTAAAAAAAAAGTCTGCTTTGAGCATTATACTCATTTAAGAACTATCTGTACGGATCATATTGAAACAGCAACTTGAAAGATTAGACAGGAAACTTAGAGGGCACTGAATTTGCATTTGTGGGGGAGGGACAACTCAAGGAGGGTGAGAATGGTTACACAACTTGAGGAATGCAACTGGTGTCCACAGAGAAGCTGTTGAATTGGGGTATGTTTTGCTGTGCGTATTCTCAGCAAAAGCAAGAGAATAGTGAAAATTTTTGAATAAGAAAAAGACCACAAAAAATTAAACTGTGACTTTGCAAGCAATCAAATAAATTACATTAAAAACAAAGACAATGCATTCTCAAACTCATCGTGTCCTGATTATTTTAATACATTTTCCCTTACCTGTGCTCTGAGATAGTTTCATTCATTCTGTTTATTTTATTTGTTGCTGTTGTTATTGGGGGCCATGGAGTGATTCTGACTCCTAGAGACCCCGCGGGACCAAGCAAAATGACCCCATAGGGTTGACTGGGCTGTGATCGTTACAGCCACTGCGTGGGTTCAGACCACCAACCTGCTAGTCAGCAGCTTAGCCATTGCACCGCCTGGGTTCCTCATTGATGTGGTGGAAACACTGCATAAAAGTGGGCTCATGGGCTGCTTGTCCCAGCTGCACAGTCAGTGGTGTCACATCGGGAGCCTGAGATTAGCCTTGGTGGGGAGCCTTTAGACCCCTCTGGGTGGCGCTGTTGGTGGTCAGCGGTTTGACCCTGCCGAGCAGCAGCATGGGGAAGGCCTTGGGTACCGGCTTCTGTAATGATTCCCGCCGAGAACACCCTGCGTAGCAGCGCGGTTCCCCTCTGTCACAGTGGGGCCACTGTGAGTTGGGATCACTTGATGGCAAGGTGGGTTTTTTGGATGTGTGTGGGGGTGTTTACACCATGGAAACTGGCAGACGCTGCCCACCAGGGCCGTTCTTCCCTCGACAGCCGGTTGCTAACCTTTTGCCAGGATGCCCCGGCTCTGTACCATCCACCGGGTTCGTGGAAGGTGCGCAGATCAAACTCTCATGAATGTCGTGGCCAAAATCAAATCAAACCCATGGGCATTAAGTTGATTATGACTCCTAGCAAGCCTATAGCACAGAGTAGAACTGCCCCATAGGGTTTCCAGGCTGCCTTTCTCCAGCGGTGCGGCTGGTGGGTTCAAACCACTGACCTTCTGGTTAGCAGCCGAATGCCTTAACCACCGTGCCACCAGGGCTCCTTGCCATGGCCAGGGTGGACCGTTACTGATCCGATTAGTTGTGCATGTGAGCTCAGGCATTCTCCACTGCTCTTGTCCCTCCCGCTCCAGATTTGCTATACTTTCTCAGACATCACCCATGCTCACCCCATCACCTGCAGACATGGGTTACAGACAATTCAAAGGTCACCCACTCTCTCCTGTGCCACCCTCTGCTCACGGTCACCCACCCATAAAGAGGTAGTCTCCCACCAGGAGACGGAGGGCTGGGGCGGGGCCGGGGCTGGGTGCTCACTGCTTCTGGCTGCTGTGCTCCAGGGGCAGCTGGGCCCTAACCCCTCAAGCCCCTCCTCCCACAGTGAACAAGTGGAAGAAGCTGTACTCCACCCCCCTCCTGGCCGTCCCCACCTGCTTCGGCTTTGGCGTCCACCAGGACAAGTACAGGTGAGCTGCCCCTCGCCACCCACCTCTCTGTGCCCTGTCCCCTCGCTGCCCTGTGCCCTGCGTGGCTCGGACCCCAGAGCCGCTGCCCAGTCAGTGTCTTCCCTCCTCCCGCCGGGTGGGAGCCAGGTTGGGCCCGGCTGCCTGTGTTTCTTCCTGCTGCTGTAACACAGATGCCACAGCAGGAAGCTTTAACAAACGGAGGTTAGTTGTTCTCACCGTCTAGGAGGCAGAAGTTGGGCAGCCTACTTCCATAGTGATACCGCCTCGGAAACCCAAGGAGGGGTCTCTATGAGTCGGTCCGACTCGAGGGCACAGAACAACAACAGGAGGCCGGAACTTGGTGTCAGCTTCAGGGCCAGGCCCTCTGTCCGCTCTGGGGACATCCTGGCTCTTCAGCGTCGCACTTCCTTGATCGTCGTCACATGGCATCACTCTTCTCCATCTGTGCTTCCTTGTCCCTAACCCCCTCCTCTTATACCTCAGACATGATTGGTTTAAGACACACCCTACACTGTCAGGCCTCACTAACGGAACAGAGAAAGCCCTCCACATGGGATTGCAGCCGGGAGTGCTGTGTGTCTGAGACTCGATTCCAGTTCGTGGCAGCCCCACAGGACACACAGCTGCTCCGTAGTTCTCTAGGCTGTGATCTTCACGGGGTAGATGGCCAGCTCTGTCTTCCGTGGGGCTGCGGGCAGATCCAAATGCTGACGTTCAGTTCCCAGCAGACCAGCGCTTAACCCCTGCGCCACCAGGGCTCCTCTCCCTGAGTAGAGGGATGTCTCTGTTGCACAGCTCCTGCTTGCCCCCTGTTGCTGTCGTTAGGTGCCGTCAAGCTGGCACCGTCTCATAGCGAACGAAACACTGCTCGGTCCTGCCAGCCTCACAGTCCTTGCCATACCTGAGCCCATCTGCCGAAAGTTTTCAGGTTCTATATCAGCGTCTCACGCTATTCCTAAGGTTTTCACTGGCCAGTTCTTTGAGGAGTGGATGGTCCCTTCCTTCTTCCCAGTCTGTCTTAGTCTGGAAGCTCCAGTGAAACTTGTCGACCACGGGTGACCCTGCTGGTATTTGAAATACCAAAAGACCAATGGCCTAGCCTCCAGCCTCACAGAAACATGCAAGCCACCACGATGTGACACATTATCAGATGAGTAGTGCACTTGCCCTTTAATGTCACATTAATCTGACCACTTTGAAGCAGGTGGCCCAAACCCTACGCACCACAAACTTGTCACAGCCACCTTCACTGGCTGCACATGCAGCTTCCAAATCATTGACAAGACCAGGCCTTTTCTTGAACTAAAGCAAAAGCCAAACCCACTGCCCTGGAGTCGATTGGGACTCACAGCGCCCCTGGAGGACAGAGTGGAATTACCCCACAGGGTTTCCAAGGCTGTCAATCTTCACAGAAGCAAAGCCCAAACCACACCCACTGCCGTGGAGTCGATTCCTCCTTGCAGCGCCCCTAGAGGACAGAGTGTACTGCCCAGAGGGTTTCCAAAGCTGTTAGTCTTTACGGAAGCAGGCTGTCTCATCTTTCTCCATGGAGTTCAAACCACCACCATTTCAGTTAGCAGCTGAGCACTTACCCACTGCACCACCAGGGCTCTTCCAAAATCACAGGTCTGGGGTTAGGATTTACAACACATATTTTGGGGAACAAATTCAACCCCTGACACCAGCTAACCTGGGCCTTCCTCATGCCACCTGGGACTAGAACCCTCGAGCCGCCAGAGAAGTCTGTGTTTCTCCCCTTCTCTGTTCTTTCCTTCTGCCCCGAGGGGCTCCCCCGAGCCCTGCCTGATTCAGGCCTCCTGTTCTCCAGGTTCATGGTGCTCCCCATGCTGGGGAGGAGCCTCCAGTCGGCCCTGGACAACCACCCAAAGCACATCATGCCAGAGAGGTCCGTGTTCCAGGTGGCCTGCCGGCTGGTACGTACACACCCACTCTGCTCGCCCACCAGGCACAGCGCTGCGATCCCAGTCTCTGTGTTGATTCACTGACACGGTTCTTGGTGCTCACTGAGTACACGTGGAGGACGACCTAGGGTCCTACCTGAGTAAGTGCTGCTGCTGTTGTTACTTGACGTCAAGTGATTCTGACCCATAGCAACCCCGTGTTACAGAGTGGAACTGCACCACAGGGTTTCCCAGGCTGTCAGTCTTTATAGAAGCAAAGCCCAAACTACACCCACTGCCATGGAGTCAATTCTGACAGCACCCCTAGAGGGCAGAGTGGAACTGCTCCACAGGGTTTCCCAGGCTGTCAATCTTCACAGAAGCAAAGCCCAAAGCACACCCACTGCCGTGGAGTAGATTCTGACTCACAGCGCCCCTAGAGGACAGAGTGGAACTGCCCCACAGGGTTTCCCAGGCTGTCAATCTTTACAGAAGCAAAGCTCAAACCACACCCACTGCCTGGAGTCGATTCTGACTCACAGCGCCCCTAGAGGACAGAGCAGAACTGCACCACAGGGTCTCCAAGGCTGTCAGTCTTCACAGAAGTGGGTTGCCTCATCTTTCTCCCAGGGGGTGGCTGGTGGGTTCAAACTGCTGACCTTTCAGTTAGCAGCCAAGCACTTACCCACTGTGCCACCAGGGCTCCTTTATCTAGTGCTGGTGTGACAGAAACACCACAAACAGGTGGCTGTAATGAGTAGATGTTCATTTTCTCGCAGTGCAGGAGGCTGGAAGTCGGAATTCAGGGTGCCGGCTCTAGGGGAAGGCTTCCTCCGTTGGCCGTGGGGGAAGGTCCTGGTCTCTCCTCAACTTCTGTCCCCTGGTCCCTTGTGACGTGCACCTTCTCCTGTCTGTGCTCTCTTCGATGTGCCTGCCGTCGGGTGCTGTGCCGTCGGTCCTGACAGCCCCGTCTGACAGTGCAACTGCCCCAGAGGGTTTTCTTGACTGAACTCCTTGTGGGTGGAGCTGATTGCCAGGTCTTTCTTGGGCAGCACCACTGGGAGGGTTGGACCCACCAACCCTTCCGTGAGCCACCGAGGGCTTTACCAGGAGCACCTTTTCTGTGCCATTCTGGTCTTTCTGTCTCAAAGGTGATTGCCTTAAGTAAGACACACCCTTCGCTGGTATGGCCCCATTAACATAAAGCCTCATTCGTTAGTGAGATCACACCCACAGGTGTAGACATTCAGGATTTACAACTTCTGTTCTCGGGCTGGGCTGGCTTAGTGCCTAAGGCATTTGACTGCTAACCAGAAGACCAGTGGTTCAAACCCACCAGCCACTCCGTGGAAGGATGACTGGACAATCTACTTCCGTAGAGATATCGCCTCAGAAATCCCAGGAGGGATCGCTCTGAGTCAGAATCGACTCAAAGCTGTGAGTTTGATTTTTCTGAGTCATTTTGGGGGAAAGTCAATGGGAGTCAGTATGAGTTGGAATTGATTCGAGGGCAGCAAGTTTATTCTTGAGGACACCCAATGGGGGTCACTCTGAATCGGAATTGACTCGATAGCAGTGGGGTGGGTTGGGTTTTTATCCTTGAGGAAAGGAACTCTAGTGGCGCAGCGGTTAAGCATTTGGCTGCTGACGAAAAGGTTGGCAGTTTGAACCCACTAGCTAGCTACCCCACTGGAAGAAGATGAGGCAGTCTGCATCTGTGAAGATGACAGCCTTGGAGACCCTCTGGGGCAGTTATACTCTATCCTGCTGTGTCGCTGTGAGTTGGAATTGACTTGACAGGGTTTTTAATTTGGGGGGACACAGCAAGGCTGTTACAGCTGCCATGTTGGAGGTGGTGGCTTGGGCCTTGGTGGGAGCCATGCAGATGTCACAGGGCAGGGATGAAATGTACCAGGGATGTACTGGCTGTGGGCTTGGGGAAGAGGGAGGGAACAGAAGTGACTTCTGGCTGAACGAGGTGTGAGCTCACACCGACAAGTGAGACAAGGAGAAGAGCAAGTTTGGAAGGGAAAGCCTAGAATCCTGACTTGAATGTACGAGGTTCAGCATTACTTTATGAGGTTCAGGTGGAGACGACAGTAAGGCAGTTCAATACATAGAGATCCTGGTGGTACCAATGGCTGGGCACTTGACTGTTAGCGGAAAGGTTGGCAGTTCAAACCCACCCAGAGGCATCTCGGAAAACATGCCTGATGATCTGCTTCCAGGAGGTGGTGGCCTTGAAACCCTAACAGGACAGCTGTGCTCTGTACACTCGGGGTCTCCATGAGTCAGAGTCAATTCAGTACCAACTAATAATGAGTCCAGCGGATGAGCGTGGAGCTCAGTGGGCAGGTCAGAGCAGGAGACACAAATGTAAATTACTGAGCTAAGTCTATTTCTGCTCGTGGGGTGGGTTTGGGGGCAGCCGAGGACACGGCTCCTGTTTGCCACCAACTGAGAGATACAGGGGGTGATAGAAAACCAAGCAGGAGGCTTAGTGCTGTCACACGGGCCTTCCTGATGCTTCACCAAGAATGAGGCCGACTTCCCTCCCAGTTCCAGGCGGTGCCGCGCGACCCCGGGCTGACGGTGGAGCTTTGTGTTAGGCTTGCTTCTCACGGGGACGTGTCCTCCCTTTCCCCCAGCTGGATGCCCTGGAGTACCTCCATGAGAATGAGTACGTCCATGGAAACGTGACAGCTGAGAACGTCTTTGTGAACCCAGAAGACCAGACCCAGGTAGATGCCAAGTCCTCCCCCAGGACCCTGGGCTCAGATGCCCACCTGTCCTAAGCCTCGACTTACGTCCCCGTGTTTGTTGCAGACAAAGAATTCCTATCCATCATATATAAAGAGCACCTTCGAATAAATTTTAAAAATAAGCAACTTAATTTAAAAAAGAAAAATAGGAAAAAAGCTGTTTGTAGAAAAAGAAACGCACAAGTTAGTAAAAAAATATATATATGAAAAGTTGCTCATTCAGCATAATAATCATGGAAATACAAAAAGAAGTGAAATTGGATGGGCAAAATTAAGAAAAATGCTATTAGTTGTTGGCAATGCTGTAAGAAAACAGGCACTCTTTATACACTGCTGATGTAAGTGTAAATTGAGTAATTTGGCAATAGCAATCAGAATTTTAAATGCATCTGTTTTTTGGCCCACAAGTTCCTCTTTTAGGAATTTATTCTAGCTATATATTCATAGCTCTCACTGCTATCAAATCAATTCAGACTCATAGCAACCCCTCCTTGGGTTTCTGAGGCAATATCTCTACAGAAGTAGATTGCCCCATCTTCCTTCCAAAGAGTGGCTGGTGGGTTTGAACCGCCAGCCTTCTGGTTAGCAGTCAAGTGCCTTAGGCACTAAGCTACCAGAGCTCCCCCTCTGGCAGGTAAACACTTGAATTTCTGTGTTGAGCTCAGTGAAACCTCCAAACCCGCCGGGTGGGGACTGTCACTGTTGTACAGACAGGGACTGTCAGGGCCCAGAGATGTTTCCTCACTTGTGGCTGTGCAGCCACTAAAATGTAGAGCAGTCCCCGGATGGCACAAATGGTTAAGTGCTTGGCTAGTAACGAAAGGTTGGTGGTTTGAACCCACCAGAGGTGCCTTGGAAGACAGGACTGGCGGTCCACTTCCTAAAGTCCCAGCCTGGAGAACCCTCGGGGGGCTCTACTCTCACAGACGGGCTCCCATGAGTCAGGATCGACCAGACGGCAGTCATCAATGCCAGTGACGCTGTGGATGACTTCTGGATGGTGATTTTGGGCCGTGATGGGGATGGTTCCCCCTCTACTGTAAAAATAACGTCGTCTGTCCTGGACGAGTTGTTTGAGATTGTGTCCATGATTGAAGTCTGTGGCCCTGGAGTCCCAGATGGAGCTGCAAACAGTACGGCTTCTCCCCCTGTCCACAGGTGACCCTGGTGGGCTATGGCTTCACCTTCCGCTACTCTCCAGGCGGCAAGCACGTGGCCTACGTGGAAGGCAGCAGGAGCCCACACGAGGGGGACCTTGAGTTCATTAGCATGGACCTCCACAAGGGATGCGGTAAGAGCCAGAGGTCGGGCCCACGGAGGCATGCTCCTCACTCAGACAGCACTCGGGGTCCACAGGGGTCCCCGAGAGGCACATAGCTGATGCGCCCAGCTGCTAACCAAGAGGGGGGCGGGTCAGGTCTGTGCAGAAGTGCCTTGGAAAAAGGCCCGGCACTCTGCTTTAGAAAACGAGCCACTGAGAACGCTGTGGGGCACAGCTCTAATCACACACGCTGGGTCACCATGAGTGGGAGATGACTCAAGGGCTGAAAAAAGAGAAGAAAAAAGGCGGAGAGGGGTCAAGGTCATGGTCAGCGGATGACCAGACACAAGTAAGACTGTTGGTCCCTGAGGGCTGTTAGAGCAAAATGTTACAAATGGTAACTGATGACAGAAACGTGTCATCTCACGGTTCTGGAGGCTGGGGGCCCAGGGTCAGCAGGCCACACGCTCTCTGAAGGCTCTAGGGGAAGGTCCTCCTGGCTTCTGGTCGCCCCAGACGTTCCTTTGCTTGTAGCTGTGTCTTCACGTGGCCATTCCTTCTGTCTGTCTCTCCGTGTGTCCTTCCATCTTTTATAAAGACACCACTCGTGCTGAATAAGGCCCTCTTCAACCCCATTCTGACCTCATATTAACTTAACTGGTAGCATCTTCAAAGAGCCTGTTTCCACACAAGGTCACCTTGTTCACAGGTACTGGGGTTGGGACTCAGCCTCTTTTTAAGGAGTCCCTCGGTGGCACAGGTGGTCGTTCGGGTTATGTGTCAACTTGGCTGGGCCCAGTTAAGTGGCTGGGCAGTTGGATGTAGTATTCCCCATGATGACACTGGTATTCAGCTCCATGGTGGAATCTACTGGGAGCAGCTGAGTAGCTGCCTTTGGGATGTGGGATGAAGGCAGCACATACTGCCTTCCTGTATGTAAGGAGACGTCTTGAGGAATACGTAAGGAGATGTCTTGAGGAATATGTAAGGAGACGTCTTGAGGAATGGTCTCTAGCTTATGGCATGCTTGAACCCTGCATGTAGTTGAGTCATTGTTCAGCAGCCTGCCATGCTCTGCCGACCTTGGGACTTTCGATGGACTTGAATTAATGGCCTGCCATGTGGGTTGGTAACTTCGGGACTGTGCCTTGTTACTTGTCAGCCTTGAGCTTGTCAGTCTCAGCAGCCAGCAGCTGAGTGAAGAAAAGCCTCCAGTTTCAGTGGGCTGGGAGCAGGAGGCAGAGCTGAAACCCAAGGTCGAGGGCCTTTCACCCAGGCCCGAGAGCCTGGCACTTTGAACTCGGACTTAAAGCCTCCAAAGTGTAAGAGAATAAACTCCTGTTTGTTAAAGCCGCCCCCCCTTTTGTGGTATGTATGGCTGTCAGAGTGGTACTAGGTAACCAAAACAGCACAGATGGTTAAGCGCTCTGCTGCTAACTGAAAGGTCAGCAGTTCGAACCCACCAGCCATTCCATGGGAGGAATATGTGGCAATCTGCTTCCATAAACTTTACAGCCTTGGAAACCCTGTGGGCAGTTCTACTCTGTCCTCTAGGGGCGCTGTGAGTCGGAATCAACTCTGGCAGTGGGTTTGGTTTGGGATTTACTTCCGTAAAGATCGACAGCCTTGGAAGCCCGTGGACAGTTCTACTGTGTCCTCTAGGGGTGCTGTGAATCGGAATTGAGTCCGTGGCAGTGGGTTGGTTTGGAGGGCCCAGCAGTTCAGCACCGTGGACAGCGAGTAGCTGGCCGCAAAGGGACGTTCTACAGGTCAGAGGTGGGGATGCAGGATCTGGGGTGGACTTGGAGGATGAGAGCTGCCCAGGGGCCACCTGGAGGGGCTGTTAAGGTGGCGGTCGACTCTCCGTGTCCGGAGGACGGGAAGGAAGGCAGAGTTGGAGGCTCTTGAGCTGTCAGCGGATGCCCCTGGGAACAAATGCGGTTACCCAGGGGGAGAGCGTGGGCTGGGGAACGGGCTCAGGGCAGGCGGGTTCCTTGAGGAGCTCTCAGCCCCACTCCTCAGATCTCTTTAGCTCACAACCTTTGCTTTTCTCATCATGTATTTCATGGTAACGCCGCTCTGCTTCCCAAACCTGCCTGTTGACTTCAGCAAAGTGGTCGACGTTTGGGTCTGTTGGCCAGCAACGGAAACACCTGCTTTGCTTTAGAAAATTAAATTCAGCCCCTTGGGAAAAACATTTTAAGCTTTTAGAAAGTTGTCCCAAATTCAAACCTGGAGGTAAGGATGGTCACAGGACCGGTAATGATTCTTTTATCTGTAAAATCTACCTGGTTAGGAATATTTCAGCTTCTTTAGGGAGCCTAAGTTCCTGACTCAAGGAGCTCTGGTGGTGTAGTGCCTAAGGCATTTGACTGCTAGCAGAAGGTTGGTGGTTCAAACCCACCAGCCACTCCACAGAAAGAAAACAGAGCAATCTACTTCTATAAAGATTTACCACCTCAGAAACCCAAAGGAGGCCACTGCGAGTCCGAATTGACTGGATGGCAGTGAGTGTTGTTTTGTTTTGTTTTTTTTTGCAAGTTCCTGACTTAACAAATACATATATTCATTGTGTGGAAATGCCAATTTATGTAGAAAAGTCAAAGAACATGATGTGCTGGTAATTGATGATTCTGGCAATGAACTTAGCACACTCAGCACAGTCGATGAAGTGCCTGCTTTTCATGACAGTGTTCAAACCGGGCGGCCACCACAGCACATACTCTCTCCTGACTTGGAGGCACAGCCGAGTGTTTTCCTCCCGCCAGTGAGCCCCCCCGAGAATCAGCTGTCACTGCTCAGTGTTCAGGACCTGGCAGGTTGGCCTGAAACTATCTGATCTCTGTTGAATAAACCTGATCAAAAGGAGGGAAATACAGAACAGAATTTATAATTCTCCCGGAATCCAGACTTTCTGGAGCCATGGAGGCTGGGTGAACCCCTAAAACTATTGCCCTCCAGGTAGTCTTTAAATCTTAAACGAAAAATATCCCTGAAATCATCTTAAAACCAAAACATTGTTTAACTTCACTGGTAAGGATTGTCTGCCTTGAGCACTGTGCTGTCTGAAGAACTATCTGTAAGGGATCAAAGTGACACCGCAACTCAGAAAGTCAGATGGGAAACTGAGGGGACAGTGAGTTATGTTCACGGGGGAGGAACAACTCAGGAAAGGAGGGTGAGAATGGCCGCACAACTCGAAGGATGTCACCGATGTCCCTGAATGGGGAAATGGGAACTGGGGTGTGAGCTACTGTGTGTATTCTCAACAACAACACAAGACCAATAAATTGCTTAAAAAAAACAAAACACTGATCTCACACTGAGATAGCCATTTGTTGACTTCTCATCTGTATTTTCTGCCCCAAACCCTGGTCAGACTGAGCGGAGAGGAGCTGTCCATGTGGTCAGACTGGGTGGAGGTGAGCCGTCTGCCTGGTAGACTGGACAGGAGCCATCCACCTGGTCAGACGGGGTGGACAGGAGCCGTTCGTCCACCTGGTCAGACGGGGTGGACAGGAGCCGTCTGTCCACCTGGTCGCTCCCGCTGTTGAGACGTCAGGACTGACAGCTGTGCGCTGGGTGGTGACTCAGCCCATGCTTCCTCCACCCTCCCTTCATCTGTTTGTCGCTCCCCAAGTGCACAGGGTGGCTCAGGCCTCCCGCCTCAACCACAGGCGGGAAAGCAGCTCCGGGCCTAGCTCTGGTGAGGCGGGTCTGTGACACCATCTTTTTTATTTTTTAATATCTCACTGTGTCTTCAGTGAAGGTTTACACAGTTTAGGTTCCCATTCAACAGTTTCCACACACAGTTGTTCAGCAACATGGGTCATGTTCTTCACAATCCGTGAGCATTCTTGTGATTGCCGGTCTGGTGGCTCATGGGAGTCAGTGTTGTGACCAGGGGGCTGGAGGGAGACAGAGACCCTCTTGTCTCTGTCTTAGGCATCTAGTGCTGCTGTAACAGAAACAGCACAGGTGAATGGCTTTAACAAACGTGATCTTCTCACAGTTGAGGCTGGAAGTTCACATTCAGGGCACTGGCTATGGGGAAGGCTGTTTTCTCTCTGTGGGCTCCGAGGGGAGAGCTTTGTCTCAGCCGCACAGCCCGGAGTCGTTCGGCTCCTTGGTGTCTCCAGGCGACGTCTTGCCCTGGCTTTGCGGGCTTCTCGCTGTGTCTACTCTGCTCTTTATGTCTCTCCAAAGTCACTGGGTTTAAGACATACCCACCTGGATATGGCCTCATTGACGTAACCAAACCCTACTCCCAAATGGGATGGCATCCACGGTGTACTAAAACCAAACCCGCTGCCGTTGGGTCAGTTTCTACTGTGTAGCTACCCTGCAGGACCGAGCAGAACCACCCCATTGGATTTCCTGGGCTGTAAATCTTTACAGACACAGACTGCTACAGCTCTCTCCTGCGGAGCAACTGATGGGTTCAAACTGCCAACCCTGCAGTTAGCAGCCTAGCACTAACGTGACTCCTGTGCAGCCAGGGCTCCAGCCACAGTTATGAAAGTCATGAATCCAGCACACACTTGGAGGAGACACAGAACAGCCAAGGGCTGGAACCTAACCGACTCCTTGTCTGGGTTTGTGAAACAAGGGACTGGGCCTGGCACAAGTCCCTGGGGGCTCGATGAAGAGGGAATGTGTGAATGAAGGGATGGAGTGTGAGCAAAGGGAGGGCAGGGAGAGTGAGCAGGAGTAACTGAGACAAGACCCAAGATTGTGGTTGGGTACCATCAAGTCAATTCTAACTCACAGTGGCCCCATGTGACAGGGCAGGACTGCCCCATAGGGTTTCCTGGGCAGTAATCTTTAGGGAGCAGACGGCCAGGTCTTCCTCCTGAGGAGCTGCTGGGTGGGTTCGAACCACCAACCTTTCAGTTAGCAGCAGATTGCTTCACCATTTCACCATCAGGGTGAATGGAAAATAAAAGGATGGATGAGACAGTCCATGTGTTTGGATGTGAGGTGTGAGTGCATGGTTGAGAGACAGACAGAGTCCAGGGGATACAGATCTGCCCGTGAGCGGAGCAGCTGACTAAACTACTTCCCCTCCCCCCTCAGGGCCCTCCCGCCGCAGCGACCTCCAGACCTTGGGCTACTGCATGCTCAAGTGGCTCTACGGGTGCCTGCCGTGGACAAACTGCCTCCCCAACACTGACAACATCATGAAGCTGAAGGAGAAGTGAGTCTAGGGGTAGCAGGTGGGGCAGAAGCTCGGATCCAGACAAGGAGCAGGGAGGAGGGGCTGGTGGCCCGCGGACATGTGCTGTGCCATCCAGTCCTGTGGACGAGGGCGTGGGCTCCAGGCCGAGCCCTTGATCCCAGCAAGGTAGTGGGTGAGTGACTCAGTGCCCTCCTGAGAGGGTTCTATCAGCACCCACCTCCTGGGGTGCAGGAGGATCAGGGAGTCAGGCATGCACGGCCCTTAGCTCAGAGTCAGGCCCAGGGGGGATGCTTCCCGGGCAGAGGACACCAGGACTCATAGTCCTGGCAGGCGAGGGCGCAGGCATGGCAGGCCCCAGCCCTGCTCAGCTGGCACCACCAGCCACTCCATGTCCATGCTCCAGACAGGTCAATGGCATCTTTGTCTGGGTTCTCTAGGGGGTGCCAAACCAGTGAAATGTACGTACATGACTTACGTCAGGGTCCCATTCCGTCAACTCCGTGGTCAGTCAGTTCTGACCTAAGTCAAATACTTCCTTTGTTTTTTCTTCATTGAATATTGCCTTTTATTATCATTTTTTTTTTCATTCTTGTTGCCTTTATAAATCAAGTATTTGTGGGAGTTGGAAACATTACATATAATCTTAACAGATGTTTTAATACATACCAAGCCCATTGCTGTCAAGCAGATTCCAACTCACGGTGCCCCTAACGGACAGAGCGGAACTGCCCCACAGGGTTTCCAAGGTTGTAATCTTTACCCAAGCAAAGCCCAAACCAAACCCACTGCCTCGGATTTGATTCCGACTCACAGCGCCCCTACAGGACAGAGTGGAACTGCCCCAGAAGGTTTCCAAGGCTGTCAGTCTTTACAGAAGCCCACTGCCTCATCTTTCTTCTGCAGAGCAGCTGGTGGTTTTCAAACAGCAACCATTAGGTTAACAGCCAAGCACTTTAACCAATGTGCCACTAAGTCTTTATTTTAATATATAAATCCATACATAAAAAATGCACAAATCATAAAAATTTATTCCAATGAAGAAGAGTTGCATGACATCAGCATTTTGTCCGCTACAGTGATAACTCCACTTGTGGAAGGTTCTAGATCATCCCTGGGAAGGGGAGTGGCGTTTCTTGTCAGAATTAGAACTGTCTATAGGATCCTTTTCTTTTTCTGTCATGTATTTCATGGTTAATGCCGCTCTGCTTCCCAAACCTGCCTGTTGACTTCAGCAAAGTGGTTGACGTTTGGGTCTGTTTGCCAGCAACTGGAGCACCTGCTTTCCTTTAGAAAATTAAATCCACATGGCAAACAGTAAATCATGACATTGGACATCTGAGAATGATGACATCAGCAAACTACACACTGCAGCTTTGTATGTGGTCTGTGTGTATATATACATGTGGTTGATACTTTCGAGTTGTGGTGCTGGCGAAGAATGCTGAAAGTACCACGGGCTGCCAGAAGACAAGAAATCTGTCCTGGAGGAAGTGCAGCCAGAATGCTCCTTGGAAGTGAGAACGGCCAGACTTCGTCTCACCTACTTTGGTCATGTTGTCAGAAGCGACCATTCTCTGGGGAAAGATATCCTGCTTGGTAAACTGAGGATCAGTGAAAGAGGGGAAGGCCGTCAACGACATGGAATGACACCGTGGCTGCAGCAATGAGTTCAAGTATAGCAAGGATTGTAAGGCTGGTGCAGGACCAGGCAGTGTTTCATTCTGTTGTCCACAGGGTTGCTATGCGTCAGAGCTGACTCAGTGGCACCTAACAACAGCATACGTCGCTAATGATAAAACCAAGCGACTCCTCCTTGGGTTTCCAAGGTAGTATCTCTACAGACGTAGATTGCCCAGTCTTCCTTCTGAGGAGTGGCTGCTGGGTCTGAACAGCCAGCCTTCTGGTTAGCAGTCAGATGCCTTAGGCACTATGCCACCAGAGTTCCTATTGCTAATGCTAAGATGTACAAAAAAAAAAAAAAAGATGGTCATAAATGCATCTCATCATAATTCAAATACAGGCAGTCTCCAGATTATGAACATGTTCCATTCCTGAGTCTGTCTTTAAGTCAAATTTGTGTGGAACTCAGAACAGTTACCTCTTTTCAAACATCAGTTAGTCAGATGTTTGTCTTAGTATATAGCGTGCCTTTCTCTGCGTAAAAAACATTGAAAAAACACTTCCATATATGCCAAAACATCTTTAACATAATAATACAGGAATAGCAGTAACAACATCCATTTGTTATTAGGAACCATTGCGTGTACCTGAGATTTTTCATATCATAGGCTTTAAGAGGTTGGTCCATAACCACGTGTTCTACGTAAGTTGGATGTTCATAACCCGGGATCTGCCTGTATGTTGAAGTTGGGGACTAACTATAGACTAAAACCTGGGAAAGCTGAAACCCGTGTGCGGTAGATAGCTGTCAGAGATGGAAAATGCAGATTTTTTTCCACAAATAGAGGGTGGTCTAGTGGTGTACTCGTTAAGGCATTTGGCTGCTAACCAAAAGGTCAGTGGTTTGAACCCACCA